AGACAACATTGTTTTTCTTGCAGAGTCAAGAGTTAAAGCACTTACTGAAGAAGATCAAAGACTACATACAGCCTTCAATATAGGTTACAGGTCAACATCAAGAAAACAAAAAATTCTCACCACTGGACCAATGGATAACATCATGATAGATGGGAAAAAGATTGAAGTTGTCAACAATTTCACTTTACTTGGTTTCACAATCAATATCCATGCTGTTACACACTGGGGAAATCTGATGTCCAGGACCTCTCTAAATTCCAAACAGCAAGGATGTCAGTTTAAAGACTAAAGTATGTCTGACCCAAACCTTGGTATTTTCAGTTGCTTCATATGCATCTGAAAGTTGGACAATGAACAAAGAAGACTGAAGAAGAATCAACATTTTTTGAAATGTGGTGTTGGCAAAGAGTGCTGAATATACTGTAGTGCCAAAAGAACAAAGAATTCTGTCTTGAACACAGTGCAACAAGAGTGTCCTCTAGAGTCAAGGATGACAAACCTTCATCTCACTGACTTTGGGCTTGTTCTTAGAAGGAACTAGGCCTTGGAGAGAGATATCATGCTAGGAAATGTGGAGGGTCAGAGAAAGGGAGGAGACCTTCAACAAGATGGATTGACACAGTGACTATCACAGTGGGCTTGAGTGGGACAGAGATCATGAGAATGGTGCAGAATAGGGCAAGGTTAAGATCTATTGGTTACAGTGTCACTCTGTTGTATTCAACTAGACAGCACCTAAGGACAACAGCATTCATTGTCTAACTTTCACATGCATATGCAGCATTTAGCAATACCAGAGCTTGGATTCTGCACATCTTTAAACTGTCTTTAAACTGACATCCTTGCTTTTTAAGCACATTATAGATGTCTTTGACAGATTTCCCCAATGCAGCACATCTGATTTCTTGGTTGCTACTTCCATGGGCAGTCTGGAGACTAAGGTGCACCTGATCCAGGCCATGGTCTTCGCAATTACTTGCTATGCATCAGAAAGCTGGACAATGATTAGGGAAGATAGAAGGAGAATTGACACCTTTGAGCTGTGGTGCTGGAGAAGAATACTGAATATACTATGGACTGCTAGAAGAACAAACAAATTTGTCCTAGAGAGGGTGAAACTGGGCTGCTCCTTGGAGGCAAGGATTCTGAAGCTTCATCTGATGGACTTTGGAGATGTTAAGGGACCAGACCTTGGAGAGGGACATCATGCTTTGGAGGATGGAGGGACAGTGCAAGAGAGGAAGACCCTCTACGAAATGGATTGACTCAGTGACTAGGGTAATGGGGGTAGTTGTGTCAGAGACAATAAGGTTGGCTCAGGATAGAGCAGGGGTCAGATAGGTTGTAGATGACACATAACAACAACAACTACCAAGGGTATTATTGATTGTAGATTAAAGGAAATTAAAATCATTCACAACCTCAATGGTTTTCTCATCTATCTTGATTTTGCCTATTGATCACTAGTGAAACTTTTTGTTTTTTTGAAGTTGGGATGTAATCCATATTGAAGGCTGTAGTCTTCAATTTCTTCAGTAAATGCATGAAGCCTTCTTAATGTCTGCAAAGTTGTATCATATTAGGCAAGTTGTTAGTGAATTGTCTTCTAACTCTGAACTCTTCTTCAAATAGCTCAGCCTTTCAAAACATTTGCGTAACATACAGACTGAATAGGAATGAAAAAAGAATATAGTCCTAACACACACCTTTCCTAATTAAGCAATGCAGTGCCCCCTTGTTCTGTTCGGGAAATACTTTTTGGTCTATGTATAGAATTTGCATGAGCACAATAGTTCATAGATTCCCATTCTTCCCGATACTAGCCATAAATTGTTATGATTCACATAGTCAAATGCCTTTACATACTCAATAAAGCACAAATAGACATCTCTCTGGTATTCTCTACTTTCAGGAATGATATCCCTTATGCCCAGCTTCTTCTGAATCCCGCTTCAATTTCTAGCAGTTTCCTGTGCACATATGTTCCGGCTATTTTAAAATAATCATTAGCAAGTGTTTACTTGCATGAAATATTAATGATATTGTTCACTAACTTCCACAATCTTTGGGTCATCCTTCTAGGTAGTGGAACAAATAGGACTTTCTTCCAATTAGTTGGCTAGGTAACTATATTCCAGTTTCTTGGTATAGACTAGTGAGCACTTCTAGGGTTGTACCTGTGATAGAAGAATTGATACCTTAAATTGTGGTGTTGGAGAAGAGTACTGAATATCCCACGGACTGCCAAAAGAACAAACAGACATGTCTTGGGAAAAGTGCAGCCAGTGTTCTTTGAGGTGAAGATGGCGAAGTGTCTTCTCATGTACGTTGGAAATGTTGCTAGGAGGGGCTAATTTTTGGAAAGGGACATCATGCTTAGAAGACTAGAGCATCAGCAAAGAGAAGAAGACTCTCAACAAGACAAACTGACACAGTGACTGGAGCTATGGTTTCAAGTGTGTCAGAGATGATGAGGATGGCACACTATAGGACAGTTTTCAGAACCGTTGTTCATAGGGTCACCATGAATGCTGCTCAACTCAGCAGCACCTGAGAACAACAACAATTCTTTTTGGTACAACAACTCTATGTTCTATCATCTTTCGATGCTTCCTGATCATTCAAACTTTTGCCCAAAAGTCCTTCAGTATTGACAACACCAGGCTTGAATTTGTTCTTCAGATCTTTCAGCTTGAGAAATGCTAAGTGTGTTCTCTTTTGGTTTTCTTACTCTAGCCCTTTGGACATTTTCTTATAGTCCTTTGCCTTGTCTTTTCAAGCTGCCCTTGGAACTCTTTTCCGCTGTCCTAATTCAGAATTTCTACCCTCACTCCTCTTTTGTTCTGGCTTCTTTATGTTCCAGGGCAAGTTTCAGAGTCTATTCTGACATTCATTTTGGTTTTTTCTTTACTTCCTGTCTTTGTCATGATCTTTTGCTTTCTTCATGGGGGATGTCCTTGATGTCAGCTCGTTGGTCCTTGGTCATTAGTGTTCAATGAATGCAGACAGTTACTGCAGACCTAAAATTTACAAGGGGATGTTCTCTGCAAAGGGTGCAGTGTTTTATATGTGCCCATGGAGTGTGCCTGGCAATAGTGCCCAGTGAGAGGGAAGGGCCGCTGTCAGATGTGGTGCTCCCTTATTCCGGGGATTGACTGCAGGCCAGGTGAGGCTCAGTCGATAGGTTCCCATATGCGTGCAGTTGTACTTAAACACCGAGTCTCTAGTGATTTTGCTAATTCTGGTTAGAAGGTAAACTTCGATTACTGCTACGACTATAGATATACATTGTGAGGGACATGGAAATTGACAGTGAATCACTAATTGCTTTGCATGTGTGTTTCTCTTCAAGCGACACTCCCCGAAGTTTGTGGCTTGAGAGACCATCAGAAAATGATAATCAGGTACATTTGGGAGAACGCTGTGTTATGGTGAGAGACACCAGGAGAGGTGCAGACTTATGAGTTCTCTTTCACTTTTCTAGGGAGGAAAATGTTGCTGGGGATGCCCACTTTGGCTAAGGGATATATATAGACCTCTCAATGCCACTTGCATGACAAATATGACACAGGATTTATATTACAAGAATTCTTCTGATGAGGAAGAAATGTTGAGCATATGTTCAAGGTAAATGATCAGGAACAACTTAAACTTCTTGTCTGAAATTAACATATATCAAAATAGAGAAAATTCAGAACTAAATTTCAATGTGGACTCCACACTTTATAGTGCCATGGAGGCTGGATGAATTAAAAACTATTGCCCTAAGATAATCTTTAAACATTAAAGTAAATACGTACCCTAGTGTCTTCTTAAAGCCAAACAATAATTAAGTTTAACTAGTAAAGAATATCTGTCTTGGGCACTGTGCTTTTTTAAAAGTTAACTAACTCTTATACATTGTTGGTGGGATTGTAAAATGGTACGACCACTCTGGAAGGCAGTTTGGCATTTCCTCAAAAAAGCTGAACATAGAAATTCCATATGACCCAGTTATTCCACTGCTTGGAATATACCCTGAGAAAATGAGAACTGAGGCACAAACAGCGACTAGTACACCAATGTTTGTAGCAGCATTATTCACCATAGCAAGAACATGGAAACAGCCCAAATGTCTAATCACAATGGTATGGATTGAGAAATTATGGTTTATTCACACAATGGAATACAGCACACAGGAGCAAGGATTTTGTAAATTATTACTTAACTTAGGAGGGACTGGAGAGCATTATGGTAAGTGAACTAACTCAGTCTCATAAAGAAAAATACTGTATAAGACCATTATTGTAGAATGAGTACAAGGATCCAAGGTGGGGTGAGTGGAGAAGGGTGAAGATGGGGGAAGTGCTTAATTATAGGGTTGCACAATTTGATGAGTGGAGGGAGGTGTGGGTAAAAGAAAGGGGAAGTATCTGGTGTGAAAAACAATGTATATGAACTTTGTAAGTAAACCAGTATAAAATATTTTTTTTAAATGAATTAAAAATACCCACGTGTATATGTTTGAGAGCTTGGTGCCATAGTGCTTTTCATGTTGTGTTGCCAACTCTAAGGTCAGTGGTTCTAGTCCACCAGCTGCTCTGAGGGAGGAGGATGGACAATCTCCTTCTGCAAAGATTTACAGCCTCAGAAACCAGGCAGAGAATCAACAATGAGATGAAGTTGACTTATTGTTATGGGTTTGGTTTATTGATTTTTATGAGATTAATCTGAAAACAGCAACATGAGAGACTAGACAGGAATCTCTGGGGAATGTTAATGGAGTTTATGTTAAGGGGGAAGAAACAGCTTAGAAAAGAAGGGTGGAAACAGTTATATAACTCAAAGAATGCAATCAATGTCACTGACTTGAACATGTAGAAAATGCTCAATTGTATGTTTTGGTGTGTGTATTCTCAATACCAAAATAAATAATTTTTATAAAGAAAGAGAAAGGGGAGGTAAAAAATTCAATTGCTTCTTTCCAGAAAAAAGAGCTGCTAACATTGTTCTTATTCCAGGGAGATCCAATCTACTACGGACATAGAGAAGGGCACGATGTGAAAGGAAAGTGAAGAGAGTGACGCCCAGGAGATCAAAGGGTGAACCTCATCTGTTCTCAGCTGCCTCCAGAATTTTGTTAATTGGCTTCTTACTATCTCATATTAAAATGTATGCATGCAAAACCATCTTAAGGAACTGACGTGTTTATACAGGGACATGTTCTCTGAAATAGGATGGTATGGGACTCATGCTGTGAGCTCATATGGACTCTGTGGCTCAACTCTTGGTTGTCCTTCCTCATCACTGCTGCTGCTGCTGCTGAATCTACAGCTTTGAGTAACCAGAAGAATAAACAAATCTGTCTTGTAAGGATATGGATAGACTGCTCCTTGGAAACAAACAAAGATGGTGACACCCTAACCAGGCTCCTTAAGATTCTGACCATGCTTTAAGGAGCACTCTGGTTCTATTTCCTCCAAGACAGAATTGTTAGTTCTTTTGGAAGTCCACAGGAAATTCAATACTCTTCTTCAACACCACAATTCAAAGCCATCAGTTCTTCAGTCTTCCTTAAGCACTGTCCACCTCCCAGATGCATAGAAAGCAACTGAAAAGACCATGGCTTGCAGCAGGTGCATATTGCTCTTTAAACTGGAATTTGTTTATTGTGACTGTGAAGCGAAGCTCTATCATCTTTGCCTCCAAAGAGCACTCTCTGGCTGCAACTCTGTTCAAGAAGTTTGAATGTTGTTGTTGATTACTGTCGAGTTGCGCACGACTCATAGCAACCCTATGAACAAAAGGTCTGAATCAAAATACCCACTGTGTTTAACTATTCCATATTGAGGTATACAACAGAGATTTAGAAACAATCCTATAAATATAGTATATAGTGTAGTAATATAGTCTAGATATACAATGAAATATTATTTAGCAATGTAAAATGAAAATACTGGCATATGCTACAATATAGGTGCATTTTGAAAATACAATGCTAAGTGAAAGGCACTTAACTACAGAAGGTCATATATTGTATGATTCCCTTCCTGTCAAAGGTTTAGAATAAGCAAGGTTATAGACATAGAAAGTAGCATAGTATGCCACATGTTGGCTTGCTAATTGAAAGGTCAGCAGTTCTAATCCACTAGCTACTCTTTAGGAGGGAGGTGGGTAGAAGCCTCCTCCTAGAAACCTGATGCGGGGCCACAACTCAAGTCCAAACATCTTGATGGGGATGGTTTTGTTTTTGGAGGTCTGGAGAATTTAGGGGGACGGGGAATGAGTGCTACAAGTTGTTTCTCTTTGGGCTTCTGAAAGCATTCTAAAATATTTTCAGGTGGGGGTAGTATCTCAACCCTGAATATTTTGAAAATCATTGAATAAGGTAATGGTAAATTACGTGGTACATGAATTATATTTCAGTTGCACTTATAATAAATGTCAGAGTAAACAAAATAACAATGACTGAAGGAATTGATTGCAACAAGTGGAAAGTTTATTGAAGCAGAATGATTTTAAAAGAAAGCCCCCACATTTTCTGTTTTTAAGACAAACCTAAACCAATAAAGACAACAGATTTATCAGAAAAGATTATAGCAGTGTTTGAACTCTTGTCTTCTAGGGCTTATTATATTGCTCTGTATATTTGTTAGGATTTATCATTTTCTTCTCAGGGTGAGAGCACAGGTAGATAAATTTAGTTCTTATTTGAATTTTACATCAGAAACGTTGTTGACTTGAGGTGAGATCAGTTGGCCACGATCTGTCACTGTCCTGCTTTCTCTGCTTTTACTTGAATCTAAAGAAAGGGTGGGGGAATTTTAGAACAGGAAAGATAAAGATTTGTTCACAAATAAAATCACATATTAAGGAGAATGGCTCTAGTTCATCTTTTTATGGTGATACAAGTGTGTATTTATTTACTCTTGTTTATTCGTTAAATAAACAACCAGCTGCCAGTTGCTGTCAGCCAGTTCATGCTCATGGTCCCCCTGCACATGTCAGAGAAGAGGTGTGCTCCACAGAGTTTCCAGGGGTTCATGGCTTGGAAAGTGGATTGCCAGGCCTTTCTTCAGAGAAACATTTGAGTGGACTTGAACCTTCAACCATACTGACATTTGCACCACCTGCCTGCACATCATCCAAGGCATTGAGTAGCAAACCATGGTTTAAAAACCATCCTTACCTCTTGATTGAGTCACATTGGTTCCTCCTTTTAAGTCCACACAGGTTGATCCTCGGGATTTAGTCCCCCAAGAAGAGCTAAAATAGAAAAAGTAAAAATCATTCTTGTTTACTTCTCTTTGGCCAAAGAATTCTAATGAAACAGATTTTTTTTTTCCTTTCCAAATGGAGCTCGCTTCTTTCAAGGGATTTTTCATTTGGAACTTGGCAATACTTTAGTTACCCAATTGAAACATTTTCTAGAAAATACAAGAAGTCAAGGTATCAGGGCTCACCCTCCCTCTCCGTCCAGCAGACTGCGGTAGGTCTCAATCTCCATCTCCAGACAGGTCTTGATGTCCAGCAGCTGCTCGTACTCTGCGTTCTGGCACTCGGTCTCTCCCCGGATTTGGCAGATCTGCTCCTCCAGGCCGCTTATCTTCGTCTGTATTTCTGACAGTTGGGCCACGTAGCAAGCTTCAGTATCGGACAGGGTCCCCTCTAGGGAGCATTGCTACAAATGTACACAAATAGAAACTGTCAGAGTCAAACCGCTGAAGCATATGCTACTGTGGTGAAAGCTTCTTCAAAGAAACTATTTCACAGGGAATTAACTTAGATGTTAATTAATCACATCGGGATTACTACTAACACAAGCTAGGCCCTATTAAGAAATATTAACTCACTCAAATTTTGTTGCAACCTTGAAGGATATTCTGACTCCTAAGGAATTTAAGTGTTTCAGAGTAGAATTTCACCCTTTAGGGTTTTCAATGATTGTAGTACTTCAGCAGTAGACCTGCAGACCTTTCTCAAGTGGCATCCCTGGGTGGATTTGATCTACCAACCTTTCAGTTAGTAGCAAAAGGTTTAACTGTTTGCACCACCTGGGAACTCTCTAGATTTATCTCATGAGATGTATACTACAAATGATCATTCCCATTTTACAGATGTCAAAATTACCAATGTAATTCTAAACAGTGCCTTGTGCAAGACACTTTGTTAAAGTGTCTTTGTTAAAGAATGGAGTGCCCCTCACCGCTTACCATGGCCAGGGCAGACTGTAGGTCAATCTGGAGAGACTGAAGGACTCGCTTGAGCTCCATGATCTCACTCTTGGCAGAGCTCACAGCTCCCACGTCTGTGGAGATCTGCTTCTGCAAGGACGCGCTCTGCAAGGAGAGAACAAAGTGCAGCAGAGTCAGGGAAGCTCAGTGGCTGCCCTGGGGCAGAGTGCTCTGGACCCTGCTGGCCCCAGCCACCTGCTTGTTGAATTGCTCCTCAGCCTCCCTGCGGTTCTGCTCCGCCAGCTCTTCATACTGCTCCCTCATGTCATTCAGCAGCTTGGTGAGATCTGTCCCTGGCGCTGCATCCATTTCCACGGTCACATCCCCACCGGCCTGTCTCTCCAGATTACACATTTCCTGGTGTGAAGGACACAAAATCCCAAATCCCTGTAGACAAAGTCTTTTGGGCTGGGAAGCGGGAGGGTGGGTGTTGAATAGTGAAGCAAAGTCCCTTTGTGGTTTTATTGCTCCTACCTCCTCGTGGTTCTTCTTGAGGCTAATCAATTCTTCAGTGAGGCTTTCAGACTGCATTTTAAGGTCACATGTGGTCATGTTGAGCTCACCAAGCACTTTCTGCAGGCCATTTAGATCTGCTTCAACTGACTGGCGGAGACAGAGCTCATTTTCATACCTTAAGAGATGTTTGGAATACGATTTCAAAATGCCATTAATGATTTGAAAAGGATATATGGGGGGAGAAAAGGATATTCAGCAAATACTATCCAGCTCAAAGAAAAATTCTTCTCTTGGAATTGTTGGGCAAATGTTATAAAATTTTGTGTCAAAGCTCAGAGTCTTCTTCTAATTAAATATGCATGCTTAATTTTTTTTCTCGTCTCCTGGTGTAGATGTTTAGCATTTGTCTGGAATTTGGATCTGTTACCTACATTAATTTCTTGATGTAAATTTTACATAAAGATAACATAATTTGTCTGTAGTGTGGTGATAGATACTGAGAAGATTAGCATGGCTTTTGTGCAAGGACAACATGCAAATTTGTGAAGCTTTCCATTTTTTTCACTAACGTGTTAGGGTTTTGCCCAAAGCGGATCCTATTTTTAGGCCGACTCACTTAATTTTGAAATCCTCAGCTGCAAGTCTAGCGTTGTCAATTGGGGTGATCATCTTGGCATTATCAATTGTGGCTGTTGCAATCTAGAGATTGAAAGATGAAAAGCAAAAGAACATTTAAATGGTTACCACGTATTTGCTGATTCACATTTATCTCCCAACAAATAGTCGCAGAGAAATTTCAGGACCTGTTATCCAGCGTTGATTTCCAGGTTGTCGTTGGTATGTGTCGGAATATACAGAGCAGCTGGTATAATTGATCAAAACACTCTCTTGTCCTGCTCTGTCCTATTACTGAATACTCTCTTGTCGCCTTCCAGTTGGAACTGACTCCTCACTGACCCTCTCTTGGGTTTCTAAGGCTACAAAGCACATGGAAAGAGAGCCCATCTTTCTCCCAAGGAGCCTCTGGAACTGCCAGAGGTGTGGCCTTTGATTTAGCTTCAGGAGTGAAATGCGTACACTCCTCATTCATCTAGTGACACCAATGGGGAGCTGTGATGGCCTAGTTCAGAGGGAGTTGTGCTGCTAACCCAAAGGCAGCACCTCTCTGCTGGTTCGGTTCCACCAGCTGCACCCAGGGGAGAAAGATGGATAATCTCCTCCTGTGTGATTTACAGCCTCCTGAAAATCCCCGGAAGGGGGTTTTATAGGTCAGTTCTGACTTGATGGCAATGAGTGAATGACACCATTAATGCAATCGTTATTATATTTTTTTTTTAAAAAAGCTCTTTCTTTTGTATCTAGCAATGAACAAATACCAATAGAAGAATTTTATGTTATCTTTAAGAAAATCAAGTGGCATTATCACCACATTTCCCACTGGACTCCTCAGAGTGACAGTTGCTGGATAGCACTGAATGCATCATCTCCAGAACCAGGTCCGAGCTTGCTCTACTGTTTTTAACACATTGCACATAATCGTCATATGTTGTTGTTATGTGCTGCTGAGTTGGAACCAACTCTTAGCTGACCCTGAGTGAGTTTTCAGAGGCTGAAAACTGCACAGGAGGAGACTGCCCATCTTTCTCCCTCAGAGCAGCTGGTGAATTGAACCATGTGCCTGTGGGTTGGCAGTGCAATTCCTTGCCACTATAGGCCACCAGAACTCTCTTAATTCTCTTCTATACACATATTCATTAGCTGCATGGCTTTTTCTAAAACTTGGAAATACTCAGCTGTGAACAGAAATTTAGATTGCTCAGATGTAATATACAGTACTGTTGTTATTAAAAATTCCCAGGTCCTATTTTAAATCGACAATAACATTTTCAATTGTTGTGTATGATCTGAATAAAAGTGGGAAATAGAAAAAGAAAGGAAATTCAGCAGAATATAAGCTCTCACCTGCTTCCTCAGATCAGCAATGATTGTGTAGTATTTGCTGTAGTCCCTTCCAGAACCATCATTTCCAGACCCAGGCCCAAATTTCTCATACCACTGCTTGATGTTGTTCTCCAGGTCAGTGTTGGCCTCCTCCAGGGCTCTGACCTTGTCTAGGTAACTGGCCAGGCGGTCATTGAGGTTCTGCATGGTCTGCTTTTCACTTCCGGTGAAAAGTCCTCCATCTCCAACACCACCACCCATGCCTCCCACATAGCTGTAGAATGCACTACCAGTGCCAAATCCAGAACCCCCACCAAAGCCAGCACCAGAGCCTACGGCTCCTCCAAAACCACTTCTTACTGAGCAGCTTCCAAAGCCCCCTCCGAACCCACTGCCAGATTCCCCACTCAGGCCACAGATGCTGGCTCCTCTTTGAGGAGGGCACATGCCCAAGCCACAGATGTTGGCTCCTCCTCGCATATCCCGGGAAGAGCACATCCCCAGGCCACATCTGCTTCCACTGCTGAAGTTGCTTCCACCAGAAGTCATCTTGACTGAGCAGCTGCCCCTAGCTTTGGAGGAGGAGATGCGAGGAGAACAAGACATGGTACTTCCTTACTAATGCTTAGCTTGTCTCACTATGAGAAGTGGAAAAAAGATTTACTCTGACATGGAAGACCTTTGGTCTTTATATACTAGTTTTTAGGGAGTTCCTTTTCTTTGGCTTTGTCATTGTTCACATGTCTAATCCATTCTGGGTTAATTTATTTTCAGTTAACCAGACTTTCCCTGGTCGATTAATATTGGAAAAATTAGGTAAGGGTGGAGTAAAACGAAAGGTGTTATTATTTAATTTAGCCTTCATTAGTGCTTGGCAATCTGTTATTTCCTGCTGGTCTTTTCTTCACCTACATACAAATGTAAATGACCAATCATACATTTCACTCTCTAGGTCCATTAAACTTAGACATGTTCCCTATGACATTCTGGTAGGACTATTAAAGATATTACAGTGTTAGTCACGATCCAAATGCAAATTCTACTTAGTAGCAATTTGTCAAGCAAAATGATTTTCTCCTTTTAATCCAGTGTTAATGCTGAGCCAGCCATTGTGTCACTAGGTCTCCTTAGCCTTCGCTTTGGAGGGACTTTATGAATGCTAATCCAGTAAACGCATGCCTCTTCTCCCAAGGGTGGACACCTCCCTCCAGGAATCATTACGTTCTCCCTCAATCCCAGTACTGTAGCACACTCTCCACTTCTTATTGGCTTTCCAAGCCTGGAGACTTCACATCACTGAACGTCCGTCCCCATCGACTTGATCTGTGTGGTTCCCATTCTGGGAAACAGATCCTTTTCCTGATCCATGCAGACACAGCCTTAAGTGAACCCAGGTGCATCTTCCTGGGCATGTGAGCAGCATATACTCTGGACCTCTGTCTTCTACCTTTCCCACTATAGTGCAGCGCTTCTGGCTAGATGCCCATGAGCTGCCCTTCGATGTTCTTCCTCCATGCCTTGACCTGTGTGGCATCTGGTATGCTGCTGGTCTCTGATGGTACTGTTGCCACCCAGACGCCTCTGCACTCTGCCATAATCCTTACTCCTTCTGCCATGGCCAAAGTGAGGATGCCGTTCTGGTGAGGGCTGTCCACCTCAGCCTCCCAGGACCCATTCTCCTATGACATCTACTGTTTCCTCAGATCAGCACACGCTCACGCTGCTCCTGTCTGCACTGTGACCCTGTGGGTCTGGCCTGCTCTGATGCCCAGGTCCACAGACAAGTTGGCCTGATTTCCATCCTCCTTTCACGGGGTCTTGACCCCTCCCCTTATCAAGCTCTCATATGTACTAATTCTACAGATTAACCTGGGCTTCGGATCACCTGGGGAATGCCTACAGGCACTCAATGCATGTGTCTCACACCTCTGTGTTGTTCTCACCTTGTATTTACCAAACTGGCCTTATCTGTGTGGCACCTAGTAGGGAAGCACAGCTATCCTGTTCCAGGCAGACCTGCACTTCTTGGTCCCTCCCTCCATGAATCCAGTTTGTCTACTGCATCAGATTTAAGCAGATCCCCCAGTGCCTCCTAAAGCACCTCCAGTGGAAGAGGTTGATGTCTCCTAGAACAGAAGAAGCAAGGGCATCCTGGGAGTTTGTGAAGAAGTGGGAGAACTGGTAAAACAGTTAGTTTCTAAGATTTCCAAATGATTTCACATTATTGTTGAATCCTTCCACGGGGCATTGTTAGGTTCTAGAATTATATCTAAGGGGCCCTGGTAGCACTGTAGTTAAGCGCTTGCCTGCTAACAAAGAGGACTTCAGCAAAGGACTTGAGTGTTTTAGAGATGGGGAGGATGGCAGAGGGCAGGGTTCAGGCCGGCTGTTCGTAGGATCACGATGAGTCGTGCTTGACTTGATGCCGCCTAACAACAACAAGCTGCTCTGTGGGACAATAATGTGGCATCCTGCTTCTGTAAAACTACGGTTTGGGAAACCCTAGGGGTCTTTCCTGAGCGTGATGTCTCTCAAAGGGCTGAACACTCCTAACAATGTGCTCGGGGTAATGTGTGATGAAATGTCAGTCTCTCCCTCTCAGGAGCCTCCTGGCTGTACTCTTTCTAAAATGTGTGTTTGTTCTTTTGGCAATCCATGGGATATTTAGTACTCTTCTCCAGTACCATGACTCATCAATGATTCTTCTGTCATCTTTATTTACTGTCCAAGTCTCAGATGTATAACAAGTAATAGAAAAGACCATGGCTTGGATCAGGTGCACCTTTAAACAGATCATTGCTCTTCAGCACTTTGGAGAGGTCCCTGACTGCAGATCTTCCTAATACAACATGTGTTTTGGTTTTCTGACTACTGGTAAGAACGTGGTTGATTGTGGATGCAAACAAGATTAAATCATGGAAAATTTGTATCTTTTTCTCATCTACCATCTTACCTATTGGTTCAGTGGTGAGGATTCTTCTTGATAGGAGAAGTAATCCATTCTGAAGGCTATAGTCTTTGATCTTTTCTAGCAAGCACTTCAAGTCCTCCTTACTTTCAGGAGTCTTCCTCCAACCCTGATGCCATACTCTTCATAAGTCCGGCTTCTTGAATGATTTGCTTAATTTTTAATTATTTAAAAATTAGAGATGAGGATTTTGATAGCTTCAGAATAATTTATTTTGAACGAATAAAAATTTAATACAAGATTTCTCTATTTCTCACATTACATAGTAGAAGAAGATAATATGATTTCACATTCATTGTGCCATTTGTGATGGATCTAGTAGTTAACGTTATTGTTTCATTAATTCGCTTTTCAGCTGTTGATCTATTCAGTTATGGTTTTATTCTCTTATTCGATTATTATTCAGGTTATTTATCAATTTTATTACTTCATTGTTTTGTATTACAGGTTTTCTATTCATAATTCTTCATTCCATAATTTATGATACTTGGTTATTGTATTGTTTGTGATTTACACATTGGTAATAAGCCAGTCATCAGTTATTTGTTGAGCACCTTGCAAAAATCAACCAAAACAATAATTTAGAAAGAACAGAAAAAAAATAAATTAGGAATAAAATAGACAAGACACAGTCCTATTAGAAGTTCAGTGTATAAATTTTGTTTTATTTTATATAATCATAACAAATACCCTCTGATTCATTTTTTCATAATGTTAGAAAAATGTTGGAGAAAAATTTACACCTTTTTCCCTTTACCAGGAAACAGTATAGATATTATTTACTATCTCAAAAGTTACCTAGATGTAGACTCTGATTTGTGGATACCTGATATATCCTTGTCTCTTAAAAACAGCTGCCCTAGTTAAAGACCCACTTTTTGCATATTAGAAATTTCTCCTGGAAACCTATCTCACAAACCCACATCCATAGAATCTTCTGACACAAACTTATAACCATTTTTTACTACCCAGAAATAGAAGCTCCAAAACAATTAAAAACAAGCCTGAGGAACATTTGTATGTACTATTATACTGGAAAATCATGAAAGTAATGCAAAAATACAAGCACTAATAACAGAAGGGATTAGATAAGCAAACTGTTTTATTTTAAGGGACAAAAGATTTTTTAATTTTTATTTTATTTTCATAATTTTAATGAACATTTACAGAGATTTTGGATTTCCATTCATTCATTGCTGCGCTTCTCTCCCCACCCAGCCCTCCCCCCTCCCCCCCAACTCACTCCTCTCTTTCAAAAGTAAAAGAAACACTCCCTCCCTGGTACACAATCCCCCCACACCCCTCCCACCGCCCCAAGTACATTCCACTATGCAACCTTAATTGTGGACTCTTGTGATAACCATAATACCCTATCATACATCGCTTTTAAATTATTCTCTCCCTCATCTGTTTCAGTGCAGTATACACAATTTATCCAGTTTTTCTCAGTCTTACCCCAATCCTGATATCAGTCCCATTTTACAGCAGTGGCATCATGCAGTATTTGTCCTTTTGTGACTGAGATATTTCACTCAGCATAATGTCCCCCAGGCTCATCCATTTTGAATAATATTGCATGAGTTCCTTGTTTTTCAATGCAGTGTAGTATTCCATTGTGTGACTATACCACCGCTTCTCTATCCATTTGTTCGTTGATGGGCACCTGGGTTGTTTCCAACTCCTTGCTATTGTGAACAAAGCCGCAATAAACATGGATGTGCATACATCTGTTTGGATGTCAGTTATGGACTCTTTGGGATATAGTCCCAGTAGTGGAATTGCTGGGTCAAATGGTGTCTTTATTTGCAACGTTTTGAGAAAGCACCATACCGCCTTCCACAGTGGTTGCACCATTTTACACTCCCACCAACAGTGAATAAGGGTTCCAGTTTCTGCACAACCTTGCCAGCGTTTGTTACTTGCTGTTCTGTTAAATTTTGCTATTCTGACTGGGGTGAGATGATATCTCATATTTGTTTTGATTTGCATCTGTCTTAGAGCTAGGATTTTGAACATTTCTTCATGTACTTGTTGGCCATCTGAATGTCTTCTTTGGTGAAGTGTCTGCTCATATCCTGTGCCCATTTTTCAATTGGATTATTTACCTTTATCTTGTTGTGGTTCTCAAGTATTTTATAAATTCTAGATATAAGTCCCTTATCTGACCTGTCATTATCAAATACTTTTTCCCAGTCTGTAGCTTCCCTTTTGACCCTGTTGGACAAGTTTTTGGATGTACAGAGGTATTTGATTCATCTATTTTATCTTCTTTTTTTTTTTAAAGTACAGAAAAAAATTTATTGGAAATCTCTTGAATACATTTTAAATTGTAGCTCAGGATTTCCAAACGAGGTGGGATGGAGGAGAGATGATGCTGGCTGTCACCTGGAGACCGATGTCTGGTCCCAGCCCTGTTCAGGTGCTGCAGGAGTCTGTGTTCACGTGTTGTACATGGCTAAGGGGCTAGGCTGCTCCTCCTGGATTCAGCTCAGTCAGGGCTCAGCCTCCCTGGCCTCTTCCTGTGGGGTCTTGGAGAAAGGTTGCTGCACAGACCAACTAGGAATCGCAGAGGACTATACGGGAGAGGGCTAAGAGGCCTTTCCATGCAAAGCCTCAGAGAAAGAACTGACCAGGGGCC